ATTCTTGTCCGGAGCGGATTCTTTCGGATAATGGTCCCGCATTTATGGCTGAGGCATTTCATATTTTGATGTCTCAGTTGGGGATATGCCACACTTTCATGAGTGCTTATTATCCATAGTCAGACGGTTTGGTGGTACGGCTCATTCAGAAATTCAAAGGAATGATCGCAAAGTACGTGAACTTTCGACATTCGGATTGGGATGGTTATTTGTCGTCTCTTCGATATGCATATATCACAGGGGTGTAGAGTTCTGTTGGTGTTTCACCATATAAACTTCTATATGGTCATGATCCAATATTACCGACGGAGTTGGGTTTACCTTCACGATTGCCCCTGTGAGACACAAAATCCCTAGGCCCCAAAGTGGAGCCGGAAAGGGTGCCACGTGGTAGTGGCTGAAGCGAGAGCCAAACGAGCGTAACACGTTTGGACCAAAAGCTCCGACTTGAAAAGTCAAGAGCGGGAGTGGAACTCCCAACGAAGTGCTCGAGGAACGAGCACGAAGCGAGCAAAAAGCGAGGCTCCAAAAAGGGACCCAAAAGGACCAACACATGACACGTGGAAGTGTCCGAGATGGACCCGAGTTGGAGTCCGAAGTGGAGTCCGAGATGGACCCGAGTTGGAGTCCGAAGTGGAGTCCGAGATGGAGTCCGAGATGGAGTCCGAGGTGGACCCGAGATGGACCCGAAATGGAGTCCGAGATGGAGTTCGAGATGGAGTCCGAGGTGGACCCGAGATGGACCCAAAATGGAGTCCGAGATGGAGTCCGAGATGGACCCGAGATGGAGTCCGAGATGGACCCGAAATGGAGTCCGAGATGGACCCGAGATGGAGTCCGAGATGGACCCGAGATGGAGTCCGAGATGGAGTCCGAGATGGAGTCCGAGATGGAGTCCGAAGTCGAGACCGAGACCGGGACCGAGACCGAGACCGAGATCGGGACCGAGACCAAGACTGAGGCCAAGGGCAAGGCCGAGGCCGAGTCTGAGTCCGAATCCGAGTCCGAGTCCGAGTCCGAGTCCGAGTCCGAGTCCGAGTTCGAAGCCTGAGAGGGTGAAAGCCCAAAGCGTTCGTCTCCCAGACCCTAGGGGGTTTGGTGAGCTCCAAAAGTATAGTAGGGGGGAGGACTGCAGTGGAGCCAGTTTGGCCAGGAAAGGCCAGTTTGGCCCAGGAAGGCCGGACCCAGTGTTGGGTGATGAGCTGCCCACTAGGAAGTCCAAGACTAGAGTGAACACAGACCGAAAAGCGGGGTAGCTTGGTGAAGTGTTCAAGAGCCGGCTCTAGTTCCCCCGGGAGATCGACTGGCCGATGCTCCCAGTCCAAGTGTGGGTGGCACTACCTACTTGGATACCTGGTGTGGCTCAACGGAACTCGCTCTAAGCCCATGGCTAGAGCACCCAAGGGCAGAAGGCGAGGAGAGTACCTAGGTGGCTCGCGTAAGGCCACGGTGTTCCGAAATGTTGTCCCAAAGGCCCAAACTGTGGAAAGGAAGAGGAGCAGTCCTCTGGGGTAGTGACCAAGGACACAGTCGTGTGGTGAGGAAGTCCCAGAGGACCATGGGACTTAGTGGTCGGGCCTGTGGGTCTTGATCCAGTGGCAGTGTTGGCAAACACGGCCAGGGGCAGAAAGGGACTTAGTGGGGACTGACAGAGGGATATTGGGGAAGGCTATTCCCCTTGTCGGTGGGCATCCTAAGGATGCTAAGGAGTGGATCTGAGATGACCACTCTGTAAGCGACTAAATTTTCCATTCTACTTTAGTCATTTAACCACACCTCTGACCACTTGGAGGAGTCTCATTCACAACCTCCATAAGTCCAATCCAGGACTTGGGACTTGCTAGCCCCGAGAATGGCATCCATGCCACTCAACATTTGCACTTGGTCCGAGTGCTCCACGTGTCCGATCCCATGACCGACACTCAAATGTACCACCGACATAGCAGCCCGTTACGCTAAGGCCATGCCCAATCACCTTTGCCACACTGGTAGTCCAATACCACTTGCATCACCGTCTTGGCTCTCCAAGACTAGGCAAACCATCCGTGAGTGGTCATCTCAGATCCACTCCTTAGCATCCTTAGGATGCCCACCGACAAGGGGAATAGCCTTCCCCAATATCCCTCTGTCAGTCCCCACTAAGTCCCTTTCTGCCCCTGGCCGTGTTTGCCAACACTGCCACTGGATCGAGACCCACAGGCCCGACCACTAAGTCCCACGGTCCTCTGGGACTTCCTCACCACACGACTGTGTCCTTGGTCACTACCCCAGAGGACTGCTCCTCTTCCTTTCCACAGTTTGGGCCTTTGGGACAACATTTCGGAACACCGTGGCCTTACGCGAGCCACCTAGGTACTCTCCTCGCCTTCTGCCCTTGGGTGCTCTAGCCATGGGCTTAGAGCGGGTTCCGTTGAGCCACACCAGGTATCCATGTAGGTAGTGCCACCCACACTTGGACTGGGAGCATCGGCCAGTCGATCTCCCGGGGGAACTAGAGCCGGCTCTTGAACACTTCACCAAGCTACCCCGCTTGTCGGTCTGTGTTCACTCTAGTCTTGGACTTCCCAGTGGGCAGCTCATCACCCAACACTGGGTCCGGCCTTCCTAGGCCAAACTGGCCTTTCCTGGCCAAACTGGCTCCACTGCAGTCCTCCCCCTACTATACTTTTGGAGCTCACCAAACCCCCCAGGGTCTGGGAGACGAACGCTTTGGGCTTTCACCCTCTCAGGCTTCGAACTCGGACTCGGACTCGGACTCGGACTCGGACTCGGACTCGGACTCGGACTCGGACTCGGATTCGGACTCGGACTCGGCCTCGGCCTCAGCCTCGGTCTCGGTCTCGGTCCCGATCTCGGTCTCGGTCTCGGTCCCGGTCTCGGTCTTGGTCCCGGTCTCGACTTCGGACTCCATCTCGGGTCCATCTCAGACTCCAACTCGGACTCCACCTCGGACTCCATCTCGGGTCCTTCTCGGGTTCATCTCGGACTCCATCTCGGGTCCATCTCGGGTCCATCTCGGACTCCATCTCGGACTCCACTTCGGACTCCATATCGGACTCCACTTCGGGTCCATCTCGGACTCCACTTCGGGTCCATCTCGGACTCCACTTCGGGTCCATCTCGGACTCCATCTCGGACTCCACTTCGGACTCCATATTGGACTCCACTTCGGGTCCATCTCGGACTCCACTTCGGGTCCATCTCGGACTCCAACTCGGGTCCGCCTCGGACTCCATCTCGGACACTTCCATGTGTCATGTGTTGGTCCTTTTTGGGTCCCTTTTTGAAGCCTCGCTTATTGCTCTCTTTGTGCTTGTTCCTCGAGCACTTCGTTGGGAGTTCCACTCCCGCTCTTGACTTTTCAAGTCGGAGCTTTTGGTCCAAACGTGTTACGCTCGTTTGGCTCTCGCTTCGGCCACTACCATGTGGCGCCCTTCCGGCTCCACTTTGGGGCCTAGGGATTTTGTGTCTCACACACTCACGGATGGTTTGCCTAGTCTTGGAGAGCCGAGACGGTGATGCAAGTGGTATTGGACTACTAGTGTGGCAAAGGTGATTGGGCATGGCCTTAGCGTAACAGGCTGCTATGTCGGTGGTACCTTTGAGTGTCGGTCATGGGATCGGACACGTGGAGCACTTGGACCAAGTGCAAATGTTGAGTGGCATGGATGCCATTCTCGGGGCTAGCAAGTCCCAAGTCCTGGATTGGACTTATGGAGGTTGTGAATGAGACTCCTCCAAGTGGTCAGAGGTGTGGTTAAGTGACTAAAGTAGAATGGAAAATTTAGTCGCTTACAGCCCCAAACTGCCAATGCTAAGTCATGGGATCAGTATTTGACGATCATTTTTCCACTTGTCCGAGCAGAGTTTGCCGAACACTTAGGCCGCATACAAGTGGGACAACAACAGCACTACAACTCCCATCATCGTCCATTTGTGGAGTACAAAGTGGATAACTTGGCGTTGGTCCATTTTCCCCATCTTACGATACGTGGTTTATTTAAGGGGTTTCTTACTCAGTAGAAAGGACTATATCAAGTGTTGCGGCAAGTTGGACCATAAGTTTATGAAGTTTGGCATGACGTCAAGCAGGCTGATCCTCTAGAAATTGTGCACGTATAGCTATTGAAATGCTTCATACCAAGGGATTCGGATCACTTGGTATGATGTTCCTCTAGATCTCAGCCTATATATAATAAAACCCTGATGGTCTTTCATTATTCTGAGAGGAGGGGATGATGTGAGGGCCAAGTGTATGACTACAATGCTATATATTAATATTAGCGTAGTGGGATTTTGGTAGTTGTTGGATTGGTTTTGATCTGGATTACTTGCTCCTGTATATAAGCTAGAGTTTTTGGGCTAATTGATATGCACATTTTCTGTATTCCCTTTCCATATTCCAAGCACTCACACATATATTTTTGGAATATTATTCTTACATAAAATTCCTAATTTAAATATATGTATTTAATGGGTGTCATATTTTTTTAAAAATATATTTAATATATATATATAAAGGTTTTATTTTGGTCACAAAAAACATAAAGTCCAAAAATGCCATGATGATAGGTTTGTGCATAGTGATTTATGGTTTCCCAATTTGATATGCATGAGGTGAGTAAAATTTTCCAAAACTAGCAAATAATGTAACCTTATTTAGTTTTTTTTTTTTTTGCAAAAGCCCTAATTTGAGGTAATTTTATTTGTTATATTATATTTATATACTTAAAACTTAGAAGTAAAAAATGTAATTTCCTTTAATTTAAAATTTTTATACTCTTTTTATATGTTAAATCATTTTTAAATTATATATATTATTAATTTAAAATATTAGCATTAATAAATATTTATTATTTCAAGGGGCTAAAAAACATATTTGAATTGCAATTTATAACTTTGTAATAAATAATGAGAGTAAATTTTATAGTATTCTGAGATAACAGCAACAATAATTTAGTTTTTAGCTTATAAAGTTAAAACATTAATTACCAACTCAATGCTTAAAAGTATTAAAGTTTTATTAGGTGCTATGATACTTAAATTTTTTCTTTCTTTCTTTTCATATTATTAATAAAGTGAGTTGAATGTGAGGTGTCTCAGAAATGTGCGCTAGTGCCTGTAGAATGTGATACAGCTCGGCGGTACTTGTACCATCTCGCACAGATGAGGTAGAGCACCAGATTCACAGACGACACCACCGCCAGCAGCCAGTAGAAATCATCCAGTCGGCTGCGATTCAGATTATTGACGATCCATCCGCCACTGCCGCCGCCCCTGGTGACACTGTCCACCACCGATACCAGAAAGCTGCTGAGGAAGAACCCTAGCGAGATGGTGCTGAGGAACAATCCCACTCCCAGGCTCTGCATCCCATCCGGCGATTCGCGGTAGAAGAACTCCAACTGCCCAATGTAAGTGAAGGCCTCACCTATCCCAACCAGCACGTACTGTGGGAGGATCCACAGCACGCTCATTGGAACCGGCACGTCGGGTGAGTCGAGTAGCTTGTTCTCTCTCGCGATTCTAACTCGTCGCCTCTCGACCGTGGCAGCCACCACCATCGCCAGGATCGCCACCACCAGACCCACGCCGATTCTCTGCAGTGTCGTGATTCCTTGAGGATGGCCCGTGAGCTTTCGCATCAGAGGTACGATGAAGCGATCATAGACCGTGACTGTGACCATGATGGTCGCGAACAGGAACGCTGCCGAGGACGCTGACGGGAAGAGGAAGCTGCCCATCTTTCTGTCCATCTTGGAGCCTTGGACGACCGAGAAGGTGAGCATCTGAGCGTAGACTGTGTAAAAGGTGATGGTGGTGGCCCAGATTGGGAGTAATCTAAGCACCATCTTGACTTCTTCGATCTGTGTTACAGTGCACAGCCTCCATGGCTTTGGATTCTCGTCGTAAATCTCGTCGTCGCTGGGTTCTAGAACCGCGGCCTTGTCGAGGAACCTGTACTGATAAGGCTGTGAGCGCAAGTTGGCGGGGCAAGATGACAAAACGACCAAACTCATATAAGTGGAGGTAACTTATCTATGCAATCTATATGCTAGAATGCTTTGTCGCGATGATAGGAGAGGGACTGGACTTATCAGCGAGGGTTTTACTTCTTTCCCTGCTCTCAACGAACTAAACTAAACTTAACGTGTTCTTCAGCGGACAGGAGAAGAAAGCAAAAGACGAACAAGCAAAGCAAAAGAAGCAGAGGAAGCAGAAAAGGATGGAGTTCACGTGCCTGAATTGATTAGTGTGCCTGGCGCTCTGGTCGGTGGCTGGATCTTCAGCGTCTTTGCCAGGGCCAAGTGACCCATACAAAGAACTTTGGTCCCGGGGGAGCTCCAGCTTGTGCTTCCTGACAGCGGCTACGACAACTTTCGCGATGCGAGTTAAGGGGCTTCCTGACGGTGCCTTGTAGCGGTACATGCGAGTGCCGGCCAGGAAAATGACGATGGCGAGCAGCATGGCAGCAGCGCAGATGCCGTATCCCCAGCCTCTGCCGACGTTGTCCTGGATGTAGACGAGCACAGTGAGGGAGAAGAGAGCTCCCACCGAGATGGAAACGAAGAACCAGTTGAAAAAGTAAGACATGAGCTTCTGCTCCTTCGGTTCGTTCTTATCGAATTGATCGGCTCCGAATGCAGAGACGTTGGACTTGATGCCGCCGGTTCCCAGTGCGGAGAGGTAGAGCGCGAGATAGAGCAGGCTGAGCTGCTTGGCTTTCGCGGGAGGGCAGTCGTGGACGCAGTGAGGAGACCTCAGTGATGGAAGTGAGGTGAGAATGGTGAGAACAAGCATTCCCTGCGAAAACCATGAATCATTGTTTTTCAGCTTCTAACTCTGTACTTCTTCAGCTTACCAGGAACTGGATTGTTGCGGCGATAGCGACCGTCCAGAACCGGCCGATGTAAGTATCGGCTATGAATCCTCCCAGAAGGCACAACATGAAAGAAGTACCCAGGAAGTTCGTGACGATGTTTGGAGCTTTGGTGTTGGAGAGGTGCAGATCGTTGGTGAGATAAGTCACCAGATTCGTGGCAACACCCAGCGTCGTCATTCGTTCGCAGAGCTCCGGTCCTGTTACGCAACCAACAGCGAAACTTAGCCTACCAGGAAGAGACAACTTTGAACTACATACCGAAGACCAGAACGGCTCGTTTCCATCCGCCGGTAGCGGACCTGATGGCGGGATTTCCTTTGTGATCCAAGGATCCATCTCCTACAACCTCTGCCATGACTGCACGAAAGCTGCGAAAAGCTTAGAATCAAGGAGTGAGCCTCGGAACTTTCTTCTAGCGGACGAGAAGTGATAGACTACGGGAGAAACTAATCTTTGAGGTAGCCTTCGCCTATACACAGTACAGGTTCTCTTGGTTTTTTCGCTGATTCTATGTGTTTCTTGACCAGGATTGACGAATTTCAAGGTACTCTATGACACAATGAGTGTGGTGATGAGTTTGCTCGAGCGTGGAAGCAGTTTGTAAAAAGCAGGCAAGGACAAGCTAGCAGGACTCTCTTTCTCTCTTGCTCGACTCACACGCTCGCTCAGTGTTGTAGGAAGAAGCGGAAGACTGGACGCTTTATACTGAGGCTGGGAATCGGGACCACCTATCACAGGATGTTGATCCCGAGGTAATTGGAGCTTTGTTTATGTTCTTTTCCAGATCACGATAATTATCAGGCTGATGACTTTGTTTTCTTAGATGCCGAGCTGTTCAATCATATCGCACCGAAATCCTTGACTGTGGGATAATCAGATCACACCTACAAAAAGCTTTAATTTGGTAAGCGTTCGTTTTCATTGAAAGCTTTTTGTCTTAGTTTCTTTCTCTGTGATCGACACTGGGACGAAAGGATTCGTTGGTCCTCTGGCGCTGGAGCTCAAACTTTTGCCATGGACGAATCCAGAGAAGGAGAAATCTATAAAACGATCGAATTTGTAGTCAATTTCAAGCACTTCCATTCTTTCTGCTCTCCAGGCACGTGTGAAAGTTCTTGCTTTTGGTTCTCGACTTTCGGACCCACAGCGCAAAAACGTTCATTCGTGGCTGCTATCTCGCGCAGAAAGAAAACGTCCTAAACAAAAAGTCCTAGGCGAAAAGTTGGCATTTAGTTCCACAAGCCCTAAACCATAAAACCTCGCAAGAAAGTCACTTAAGAGAGAAAAACTGGAAGCATTCATTGGGAGCCAAATCTCTTTGGATCTTGGGCGTGATCATCTTATCTTGAGGAATCTTGAGGAACACTACAGTGGAATTGTCTCTTGGGATCCAAAGGGTTCTTCGCAAGCCAAGTCGTGAGCTTAAAATATGGAAGAGCCCAGCTCGTGAATCCACGATCGAGATTCCAGAGCGGCTTACGACGGAAAGCCTGTCCATGGATTTGGGGACATCCAATGCGTTTTCCGGATCATTTTAATCTTCTCTGTTCCAGAGAAACAATCTAAGCGACGACAAATGTATAGTAGTTTTGTCTTGATGGAATGGGTTTTGATGATGTATATATACCGTTTCCAAGCAAGCCATGCCAAACTCTCCCCGATTGAAACTCACCACCTCTCGGGATTGTTTGGAGAGCGCTTTCTTTTCTGGTTAAGCCATCAAAACTTGGCTTGTCTCCCTCGCTCAAAAGGACCCCACTCGAATAAAAGGAACTCTAAACTTCCTCTTAGTTCGTGCGGTCTCGTCGTCGATATATCATTTCTCCAACTCGAGAGTTCATGATCGATAATCAATGGCTCCAACATCACAAGCACACAGGCTAATCATCGCCCAGGGAATGATTATCGAGCAAAAAATGAATTTTGAGACCGGAATTCTTTTAGCAAAGCGATGCATTTTTAGTGGAGGGACTCTCTTCCTTCCGTTCCAACTAGGGCACTTAAAAAGCTTTTGCTGTTCTCCGGATCTCCACTCTCCATATATTTCTCTCGATCGAGGCTTTGCATCTTTTTTCTAGATTTTGATCCAATCGAGCTAGAAATCTGAGAGAGAGAGGGAGAAAGCATCAAATTGTGTAACTTTCTTGAGTAGAAGTTTGCTTCTTTCATTCATTTGGATGCGATGGGAAGAGCTAGCAAGTGGCTCTCGCTGGTCAGGAAAGCCAAGGCTTTTGTTTCACTCAAGGGGCTCAAAGGATTCAAGAAGAAACTGGGCGATACAAATGGAATCCTCCTGGTAAGCTTTCTTTCGAGTCAGTCGTAGTCATTCTTCTTGATGATCTACTACTGGTTGATAGGTTCACGAAAAGAAGAAAGAGCTGAATTCCAATGGTAAGATTTTGGAAGAGAAAAACGAGGTCCAGCAAGAAGCTGTAACAGAGGAATGTGTTACAGTGCCACCATCAAATTCTCCTCCTCCCAATTCTCGCGAGAATTCTCCCGAGAATTTAGAAGAGAATGTGGCTGACTCCATTCCAACGCCGGAGAAATCCCAGGAGGAACTGGCAGCAGTGAAGATTCAAGCAACATTTCGTGGGGTCGCAGTAAGAAAATTCGTATCAAAATGAGATTTTTATCAGTGAATCTTTGTACCAGGCGAGGAAGAAAGTGAAGGCGATGAAAGCCCTGCAGAGGCTCCAATCCATGCTGCATGGAAAGGCGGCGAGCAAGCAGACCTCTCACGCAATGCGATGCATCCAATCCTTCGCGAAGATGCAATCCCAGGTACGATTGGAGCGAGCCAGATTCCGAAACCACCCTGGCGAGCAAAAAGAAGACCAAGACAAACAAGAGGTGACGTTTTCTACCTCGAAAGAAAGAGATTTTGGGCAAAGATATCACAAGATCTCTGGATGAACAGGAAGAACAAGTTGGCGATTGGGACGACAGCATCCTGTCCAAGGATCAAATCCGCGCAAAGATTCAAAACAAGAACGCAGCAGCAGCGAAACGCGAGCGCACTCTGGCCTATGCCTTCTCACACCAGGTAAGAAACAAGAAAGAATCCAATTTTATTCCCTTGGAACCACACTGCCTTGTAGCTATGGAGGTCGTATCCCAAAGACGCATCACCGCCGAGTTCTAGCAGTGACGACGATGACAAGCCTGTGTGGAGTTGGAGCTGGCTGGAACAGTGGATGACTTCCAGATCCTGGGAGAGTTTGGAGGAACCCAAGCCAGGGAGTAATTCTCCTGCGAGGCTACCGGCAGTGATCCAAAGCCCCGGGAGAAGTAAGCAGCAAGTTCCAGCTTCTTACAAGAAGATCGTCGCCGACATCCAGCCAAAGTTCGCTCCGGGATCGCCAAACACGAGGTTTGGAGTCCAAGCCCAGCGGAAGTTCTCGTCGATCTCGTCGCCCAGCAGGATCCAAGCCCAGGCGAAATCTGCCAAGGTTCACAATGATAGCAGCGAGGAGAAATCCATAGCGAGCATCAAACCTGGCAGCGTGAAGCACGAGTCTGCTGCTCCAGAGGGGATCTCTTCTCCGGTGGATACCAGGAAGATGAATCGACCGCTGCTGGGCAAGACAAATGGAAGTATAGGGAGCAGTCCTGGACGATCGCCAAGAGTTGGCAAAAGGATTCCATAGCTCTCTAAAAGCGGGAGATTTAAAAATTTGAAAATCTTAAAGCACACCCACCGGTGAATCTGTGACATAAGCTTGGATGACACGAACCAAAAACTTCTTTCTCGGCAACCAAAAAACTTCTTTCTCAGCGGCTGCATTCTAGGTGCATGGACAAATCACAACATCTCTGATCACAAAATCTGCGACGGTACAACCAAATTAGCACCAGAAACAAGAAGAAGAGCCAACCGTACCAGTTCATATGAAAATCCATCTCAACTCTCCATTGATTTCCCGGAACCCCTCGGAATGGAAAACACAAGAAGTCAGCTTAGAATCATATCGCTGCGGAAGAGCCATTGGCAAATCTACAATCACATGTGCATACATTCCGGCCTCCATCCACTAGGCGTTGTGCTCGTCGGATGTGCAGCCTTATCGACTGCAGCTTTCCCGCGACCTGAATGGAAAAGCCTCAAACACCGACAGTGCAAGAAATTTTGCGTACCGCCTGCCAAGTTAGATCTTCGGGACCAAGTTGCTGAGCAGGGCTCGAGTACTGGAAATGTCTCGAAAACTGCAAATAGTATCCATAACGAAGATGTGAAGATATACCATATTCAACATACCTCTAACATATGACTCCGTAGCATTGACAACTGTCGAGCAGTAATGGCTCGCAGGTAAGAAACCAGCCATCCCTTTTCAGTTGTTTTCACCGATGGAACAAACAGAGCAACCTGGAAAGGAAGATTGTTCTCAGCAGCGAAGAAAAGGCTTTGAGGTTGATTTACCTTGCGATAATCAACAAGCCCTTCGAAAGGTGGTTCGAGCTCGTCACTGACAATCACAGGAATGCAGCCACTTACTATCGCATCGAAGAGCCGTGCAGATGAAGGCGTGTCACCAGCGGGGCTTAAGCAGAAAATGGAGCTGTCCACGGTTGTAAAGGTTAGAGGATCGAACAGAGGAAGGAGAAAATACCTCCGCATCCCCTTTTGAGTCGCCCGTCTTCCAGCCTCACCTATTGATCCTTCTTCAATGATAACTCCAGCTTCGTTCTGAAGAGCTGCTGCAAGTTTACTTCGAATCTTTCCACCCTGCAGCAAGCAAACAGCTTCAAGGACTTAGCATTCAGCAAGGCATGGGAAAAAAACTCGGCGTACCGCATTGCGCTTTGTCCGACCTCGAAAGAACAACAATGTATGCCTCTGACTCCAAGAAGTCTCTAGGCAATATGCATCGCAGGCATCGACATTGGGAACATAAGGAAGTACAATATCTTTGGCGAGGGAGACTTCTCCCGGCTTATACCTGCAAGAAAACACGAGGTTACCAAATCAAAACTTCGCTACTCGTCACAACTCACCAGTTTCCAGTGGAATCCAGGTCTGGCAGAAGCCAGATAGCCGTTTTCATAAACCGGCGAACCGATTTAAATGACCACGGATGGTGAACTGGAAGAACATGGTCTCGTCCACCCGACCTTTTCCAAGCCGCTTGATTTGTAACCCAGCTCAAAGCTTCCTGTGAGGAACATATCAGGACAACGTACTCAAAAAAGAATGTAGAGAGTACGCACACCCTATAAAGCTGCTTGCACTGTTGCTTCTCCATGAGAAAATAGCTGATAGTCGTGAAGAAAGGGATGTAGAAAATGTCTGCTTCAGTGGGATTGAGAACTCGCTTCACAGATTTTAGAAGGCGCTGGGACTCGGGTGCTAGCAAGTCGGCATAGAGCCAGTAGTCTATGGAGTGCTGTAAAAGAAAAGAAAGAGAAAACGAAAGAGTAAAGATGCTTGGAGGCAAAACAAAGAAGAAACAAACCTGTTCGATCAATCGATGAACTGGGCTTCCATTCGACGTCAAATTCGCAGTCTCCTTGTATGTATCGCGAAACAATCGCAGGAGTTGGAGTGTAAACTTCTCAGGCATGTCATACACATAAACTCGAAGAACCTGCGAGGATCTTGCTCGATCTTCCATACCCCTGTCCAGATCCTCGGCGCTTCCAGTCCAAGGGACGGACAGCCGCGACCTAGCGCCCAATCCGCGCTCCAGAAACCGATCCAGGGAGCTCAGGAACGAGCGATCCGGAGCCGAGCCTGGAATCACAGCGGCGTCCATCGGCGGCCGGTACGCGGAGAAGACCGACGAGAGGGCCGTGACAATGCAGGCGATTGCGACGATCGCGACGAGCAATGTAGGGATTGCGCCTACCTGTTTGATCCCGTGCGCTCTTCCCATATTTCTAGGGTTTATTGAGAATCTAAGCAATATTTCTAGGATATTCCTTAACGTGATTAACTTAAACCGAGGGAACCTTTAATATTATTTAGCTGAGAAATGTGTATATGAATGAATCATAACTTGTCCACATTGGCAAACAAGTTGACAACTAATGATGTAAGTGATCTTTCCAACTTGAGTGTTGCTAGAAAAATCTTCACCACTTTAGATAGTGCAATCAATCTTAATGCTGGCAGTGCAAAAGGTATTGTTATGAATAGCTAGTGCTTGATTTGGGTCCTTGCGGTATACAAGAGATGAAGGCGGACTGGGTTATGCTGGAGAAATCTAAATCAACACTACAGGTGCTTGAGTTGTCTGCTTCTTTGTGGACAATTATAAGCAAGTTTCCAAAGCTCTCTCGCACATCAGACCGAGAGACGCCACTTTTGGAGATGCTCTTCTGCATCTTGCTCATTTCTAAAGCCTCGGGGAAGTCTCTCTCAAGTACCTGAAAGACTTCAGCTGTCAAGGGGATACAGAGGTTGCTGACAGCTGCGCCATTCCTCGAAGTTCTTGAATCAGAAAACTGTAAGCTGGTGGATTCGCAGCAGAGGCCACTCACCGTATCAGGGTTGCAACTTGAAACAGCTTGTGCTGGAGGTAAACCAGTGTGAATTGGAATTGAAGTTGGTTGCCACAAGCCGGAGCATATGGAGATTTTGGGAAACAATGTATGGATTTCAAGGGATCACGTTTACATTTTCTACAAAACATCATATTTGGCCCGCTGGTTGGATTGAATAACGATCAGTTCTCCTACCTCATGTCGACTTGCATGCAGCTGACTCCACATCTGGCTACAGCCGCCTCTGATTGTGAAGAGCTTCTCGATAAATGCAAATAGTAGAGGTTGATTTACCTTGCGATCATCACAGCTCGTCAGTCACAATCACAGAAATGCAGCTATGGCATCGAAGAGCCACTAGAAAGAAGCATTCTTGAGCTAAACGAAGAAAAAAAGATGGAGTGAGAGGAGGTGAAGAGTAAGAAATCTTCCATTTCTTTATTCGAGTTTTTAGGAACTTCATTTAAAGCTTTGAGCGAGCGTCAGAAGCGGCGAGAGCGATCAGATCCTTTCGCAAGATCTTCCCGGAGGGCAATTTCGGTATGGCATCCAAGAACTCTATGCGGTGGATCCTCTTGTGCGGCGCTACCTGCAAAGATCGATCTCAGGGTAGGCATTCTCTCTTTTCTCTTTACCTGTTCGGCCACAAATTTCATGGCATCGCTCTTGGACAGAGATTCTCCAGCTGCGCGGACAATGTAGGCCATCGGGATCTCTCCAGCGTCTTCGTCAGGGTACCTGGAAGAAAAACTTAGCGAGTGATGGATCGATTGAAAGAGAGGAACTTACGGGATCACGCCCGCGTCTACGATGGCTGGATGAGTGAGAAGGACTGCTTCCAGCTCCGCGGGAGCTACCTGGTAACCTTTATACTTGATGAGCTCTTTGAGACGATCGACCACGAACAGGCACCCGTTACTATCGAAGAACACAATGTCACCGGTGTGGAGCCATCCATCTTTGTCGATGGTGTGGAGCGTGGCGGCCGGGTTATTCAGGTAGCCTTGCATGATACACGGCCCTCGAAGCAGGAGCTCGCCCCTGAAGTTCGGTGGAAGCGGCTTACCGGTGGTGAGATCGACAACTTTGGCTTCGTGGTTTGCAGAAAGCTTCCCAGATGATCCCGGTGGTCCTTCTCCAAACGCTCCCATTCCAGTGGTTTCAGTCATGCCGAATCCCTGGAGCCAAAGAAACTTTGATGAGAACTTCTCTCCAGCGGAAACTTCTACGTGTACCTGGAAGAAGTCTTGGATGTGGGGGAATTTGGTAAGGAACGCCTCCTGGATTTCTTTTTTAAGTGGTGCGGCACCGCATCGTGCTGCTGTCACTGAGCTTAGATCGTATTTTGCAGATGCTGGGTTCTTCATAAGCGCAACTACAATGGGAGGAACCAGCGGCAAAGTCGTGATCTTGAAGCGCTGGATCGCTTCAAGCATGGCAACCAAGTCGAACTTTTTGAGCACTATCAAGGTCGAGGCTTTGCGGATCACGAGACAGGCAGAAACAACGAGTCCAGCGACGTGAAAGAGTGGAAGCAACGCAATGGAGACGGAGGGCTTCTCTTGCTCGGAGAGAATGGTCACGGATGCGATGAGATTCCCGTGAGACAGTATGACGCCTTTGGACGGCCCTGTGGTTCCGGAGGAGTAGAGCAGTGCCGCCGGGTCGCTGAGACGAATCCTTACCAGGTTCTCCGGAGCCGTGCCGCTCTTGAACTCCAGGAGTTTCCGAAACGGCAAGAACCTGGATCCGTGGCAACTGGTCTCTCCATCGACTAAGACAATGACAGAGAGCCTGGTTGGATCGCCCAACTTTGCTGCTAGCTCCGGTGACGTGACCGCAAACTTTGCTCCTGAATCTCTGAGCTGACGATCTATCTCTCCCGCGGTGTTGGCAGGATTCACAGTCGTCACCACTGCCCCAATGGACAGGGCAGCGTGGAAGATCACTGGAAAATGTACAGTGTTCGCGAGGAGCACCAAGACTACATCTCCTTGAGCAACACCAGCGAGCGACCACAGCCCGCCCGCGACAGCCTCCACTCGCTCGCGAAACTCCCGGCAGCTGATAAAACTCCCAGACGAGGAGTCGACAATCAGTGGCTTGGAAGAATTGGAGGGGTGTCCAACAGGACCGGAGAAGAGAAACGCAGCGAAACTCTGGTGTGGATGAGCAGGCAGGCTGATTGCTGCTCGAGAGCTGCGATAGACGCCTTCGTCCTCCTGGTAGCCGCTCGAATCCGCCATAGCTAGCAAGCAAGCAAGCAAGCAAGCAAGCAAGCACTAAGGTGAAATACCCCCATCGAGCTACAGTAGAAGCGGTAAACCATTTTTACCTTTTTAACAATCTGTCACAATTTTCAAATCATCACGATTTTAAGTAGATAGGTAGCTGTGAAGCAGAGAAGTCTTTGCACTGGTCATTCGTCAAATGGATTATGATTCGACACTGTTAATTTGGAAGAGTTGGCAAGATTGCACTACCTACATTAGAATCAAGCAAACACGATCTTATAATAAATCTAAATTTTATTTTAATAGGATAGAAAAAGTGCTTACGACTCACAAATGTAATAGGAAGATAGTATAAAGAGAATTATTCATTTTTATGTACTTTTTCCTCATTTTGCGCAACTTAGAATATTCAACAAGTGGCATATAAGAGTCTTTAGCATATGCCCATTCTGGGCATACGTAAAGACCATTAGCGCCATCACTGAGTTCCCGTAGCTCAGCTGGTTGAGAGCGTTGGTCTTATGAGCCGAAGGTGGCGGGTTCGAACCCCGCCGGGATAGGTTTTCATATAGCTGTATGTTTTTCATAGTTTTCTATATGCAAAGATGGGTCCCTTGTCCACAAAAGTAGTTGTGACTTTCTGGACCACTTGGCCTACATTTGGGAGAGCTTGTGTGTTCTTCCCACCAATATATATTCCAATATTTCTACCTTGTTCTCTTCTTCTTTTATGTGGGAAGAAACCAGTTAGCTTTGACCATTTTCTTCTCCTCATTCTTTCCTCCCATTTTGCACGAGCTCTAACTGGATCGCCATGGTTTTGAAGCAGCAAGGATCTGGCGAGGAGGGCGATGGATCGCGCTTGAAGCAGCATCGCAAGATCAGCAAGTTCCGGGGCGTGAGGAAGCGGTCGTGGGGGCGATGGGTGTCGGAGATCCGCGAGCCGCACACGCAGACGCGGGTGTGGCTGGGGAGCTTTGCAACGCCGGAGATGGCAGCGCGAGCCTACGACGTTGGCCTTCTCTATCTCCGCGGCCCCTCCGCGGTGCTCAACTTCCCCGACTCGCCATCGCGCCTGCCTTGCCTCTCGCGGATCACTGTCAAATCCATCCAGGCCGCTGCCGCCATCGCTGCAAACGCCATGGCAATCTCGAGCACCGGCAATCCTCCTGCAGCGAACGATCCTACGAGCGCTGCAGCTCCAAGTTATAGCACTGGCCATGGATCATCACTCGTCGAGCATTGCGATGGCAAGCCATTGTCTCTCTTCGAGCAGATCGAGCAAGACTCGAGCAAGGAAATCAGCGCCACCGACACTCCCAGCACCGACAACACGGACATCTCAAGCGATCGTCCGAGTGAGAGTATGAGTGTGAGCTGTGTAGATCCGAGGGAAGAACGCTCGATCCACGATGATCATGTCGTGATCATCGATCAAGAGGTTACGGTTGAACAGCCAATGCCAGGCTTCCCACTGGATGATTGCATGGCCCTCCTGGACGACGCCCCGCTCGAATCCTTCCCGTGCATCGCCGCGGCCATTGAAGATCACGACGAGGATCCATTCGACGAGCCGATTCTTTGGCCTCACATTTCGTGACCGATCCTTGCATGTACAGAAGAAAAAAAGACTAAGTGAAGAAAAAAAAGAGCTTTCTATGATTCCTTGAAAGCGAACCAAGTTCTAATCTTTTGATAACTCACCGAATCTTCCCCCCTGACCTCGGATGTGAACGAAATCTTGACGATCCCCGCCGCAAAAGCCACGTTGACTAACGCGAAATGGTCGGTGCCAGAAAAGTCAACCCACTTCACGATCAAAGACATTCAAAGCTCTTGCAACTTGGTTCATAGCATGAGATTTGTGTCTAGAAGGCATGGATTAGATCGAGCGAGACAAAGCACCGACAAGAGCAAATCGCTACACACGGCAGCGGCAAGAGTATTACAAGTAGATCAAGCAAATGGAGCCGTGGAAGAAGAAGAAGGAGAAGATTATGATGCGAGCAAGCTCGATCGAATCCAGCACTGGAGGAGGCCGCGCAACATTCCCATCTGGGCGATCCACTGCTGCAAGGCCATGTCCGCGAATGCCGAAACCGACCACCCACACGAGATCCGCGCCGCTTTCGACCGATCCAAGCCCCGGACTCTCGTCACCTGGAACACGCTCCTCACGATCTACTCCCAGTCCGGTGATCTCTCGCGAGCCACTCAGGTCTTCGACGCAATGCCCGGGAGGAGCAGCGCGTCGTGGAAAGAGCTCTTCCTCCGGTATGCCCAGTTCGGGCATATCAATCCAAGCAAGGAATTCTTTGATAGAATGCCCGGGAGGGATCTCGTAGTGTGGACAAGCTTTCTAAATCTCTTTGCGAGAACTGGCGAGCTAAACCACTCTAAAGAATTGCTTTTCAGGATGCCTCAACATGATCGAGTGTCGTGGACTACTATGCTTCGAGGATATGCCCAATGTGGGCAAATGCTAAATGCTAAACAAATGTTTGATTCTATGGAAGAACGAAGCTTTTTCTCCTGGACGGACATGGTATCCGGCTATGCAAGAATGGAAGAATTTGACAACGCTAAATCTCTGTTTGATCAAATGCCTAGCCACGATTTAATCACTTGTACCGCTATAATACCAGCAATTGCCAACTATGGGCAAATTGGTGACATTAAGTTCTTTTACGACTCTGTGCCCGAGAAAGATCTCGTGCTATCGACCGCGTTGGTGGGAGCTTTCGTGCAAATCGGGAATCTGGTAGAGGCCCGAGGTGTGTTTGAGACGATGGCGACGAGGAACCTGGTTTCGTGGACAACGGTAGTGTCAGGCTATGCCCAGTATGGATTCATAGACGAGGCCGAGAGGATGTTTTCCCGGATGCCTGAGTGGAATCTCGTGTCCTGGACCGCGATGATTGATGGGCTGATGGAAAACGGGGGCCTGGGCCCAGCGAAGCTTCTCTTTGATCGAATGCCGCAGAGAAACATCGTTGCCTACACCGCTCTTGTCACGGGATTCATCCGGAATGCGCAGCTCGATCTGGCAAAGGAGCTCTTCGATCGAACCCCGCAGTGGGATCTCGTGATCTGGGCTTCGATCGCCGCCTCCTATGCCCAGCACGGGCATGTCGACCACGCGATGGCGATCCACCAGCAAATGCCCGCAAGGGACGTGATAGTGTGGAATCTGCTCGTCGCGATGCTCGGCCAGGCCGGGAGAATGGAGGACGCGCTCAAGATCCAGCACCAGATGCCGAAATGGAACGTTTTCACCTGGAACGCGATCCTCTCCGGCTACGCGATCAATGGCGATATCCACTCGGCTCAGCGATCGTTTGACAGCATCCCGGAGGAGATCGTGAACTGCCAGTGCTGGACGAGTTTGATGCACGCTTACGCTCGCAATGGCCGCGTGATCGAGGCTCGAGCTGTGCTCGCCGCAATGCCCACGAGAGATCTTGCGGCCTGGAACTTGATGATGGAAACATATGCCCAAACGGGGCATTACAAGGAAGCTATCCATCTCTTCCACGAGGCCACGCTCGATGGCGGAGTGAGAATCGATCTCGTCTCATTCATCACCATCCTGTCGGCTTGCAGCCATCTTGGGAAGATCCAAATCGCCCGCGATCAATTCGTGTCTATGATCGCCGACTATGGCATTGTCCCAATCCGGGATCACTACTCGTGCGTGGCGGACGCTCTCGCGAGATCTGGGAGGCTTTGCGACGCTGAAAGTTTGCTCGAGACGATGCCTTTCGTGCCCGAGTCATCCGCGTGGGCGAGCTTGCTGTCGGCGTGCCGTGTCTACCGAGACAAAGATCGTGGAGCTCGAGCAGCCGCGCAAGCCGTGGAGGTCAATCCCCAAGCTTCGGCTTCGTATCTTCTCTTCTCGCACTGCTAGCTTGACTTTGTACTTGCGCACGTTGTAAATTTGTATACGTAAAGGTGGTAGGGACGTTTTCCTTGACTGAAGGTCTTGATTTCACGTGAAAACTATAGTATCGTTCTGTCTAACATAACGAAAACCTTGTCGAATCTACAAAAAAATATCGGAAAAGCCATGACAATCTTGAGAAAACCACGTGAAAACTATAGCATTGTTCTTTCTAACATACATTTTCAACGATCGAACAGCAAAACCTTGTCGAATCTACAAAAGAATCTCAAAAAGACCATCGTGAAAACTCTACCATACACTTTGAAAACGTAGTATTATTCTTTCTAGCCTACATTTTCAACAATTGTACAGCAAACCTTGTCAAATATACAAAACAATCTCGAGAAAACGAACGTTTTCGATCACCAAGATCGCTTGCAAGCATCTGGAGCTCGAAACCGGACCCTCGATTGATCAGATCTTCTTTCGTCCAAGGTTTGCGCCTCGAAACGCTTCCAATCGTCCAGCACAAGCCGGAGATCCTCCATCTTTGCGTGGAGCCCCACGCAGCAATTGGCATGCATCGTGCAAAAGCTCTCAAGATCATCCGGCCTCTCGCAGAAGGAGCTAAAGATCCTCGATGGCAAGAACCTTATTCGCGCTCCAATCCTCTGGAACTCGTCGCTGAACTTGATCTGGTTGAAAACGTCCTGGTCATGGGACTCCGCGTGGATCTCGGTAGCGTTGTGCCAGAGCTTAAACATCTCCACGGTGCGATTGCTCGACTTTACGTGGAGGAAGCCCGTGTTGGGACCGTTGTGGAGGCTGGCCCCGTCGCCATTGAATCGATCGCACGAGACCTCAAACTCGGCTTCTTGCGAGAAGTGTGGAAAGGGGTCTCGGAACCAGAGGAGATCTCCATCCGTGAAAACGAGGCTGTATCCAAGCTCGAGCACCACGGCCAGGAAAGAAACCTTCCTCCGGGTCATCTTGAGGTAGTCATCCGTCATGAAGAACTTCTCGCCGGAGAAATCCACTCCTTGAGTGCGCAGCTGGAAGCAGTGGCGATGGATCACCAGGCACCGCTCGAAAGCGACTTGATCCAAGGCAACGATGACCAAGTTGTCTAGGAACTTGCTCGTGTTCTCGCCCGATCGAAAGCTCTCGAAGAGGTAGTCTAGCATGCTGCCTGGAGCGGCCCACGCTTGATTCAAAGGCGTGAGGATCACTGTACTGGTGTTCTTGATCGTTGCATTGCGCAAAACCTGGTCCAGGTTCCAGAGCTCTTCCACGCTCTATAGAAAGATCACGTTTGAGGGTCTCTGTGAAGATCCCAGCTAGAGCACTTACAAAGTTGCTGCTCCTGGCGATGGATTCGATCCGAGTTTGCTGCTCCTGCTGCTTGGAATCACCGGCAATCCCCACCACTCGGAAGTTCCTCATGATCAGGAAATCCGGGTAGCTCCAGAAGCATATCAAGGCGCCGAGGAGGAGCAATCCGGAGCAAACTGCTGCGATACTCCTGCTCCTCCTCGATGAAACATTGAAGTCCATCACTTGTGGAAGTCGGTCGGTCGAGCACGATCGAAAGCTCCCAGCAATGACGAGGCCCCGTGATCACGAAGAAAGCATCGAAAGTCTCCGCCACCAGTCAAGCACGCCAGCTAGTCCTTCGATCGGTCGAGGAGCACGATTTCGAAGTTGACAATAGGATTAAAAGAACGTTTGGTCCAATTAATTAACTCGAAGAAGTATAGTAGATCAACTGTACAGAAACTATTAGTCCTCGATCTTACTTTCGCCACCATTCTAGAACCTATCGTTATATAAAAGCTCTTGATCGTCGCCACCATCGCTAGAGGAGAAATCCTCCTCGAACTCTTCCTCCTCCCTGTAAGACTCTGGATAGACGACCCTCGATCTATTGCCGAGAAAGTCCTCCACACCATTCTCTTCACTCTCCCTGTACCTGTGCTCTTGGCGATGGCCACCATCGCTCGCAAGTTCTTCCACATCGAGAAGCTCTCGCGCTAGCAAGTCCTGCGCGAGCCACTGCTTGGCCGCTTGAGCGGCGTCCCTTTGCCCGAGACCGCTCATCACATCCTCCCACGAGAGCCAAGCGTCCGAGTAGCGCCGCAAAGAGCCCGAGCTCCCAATCACCACCGTCCGAGCTCTCCTCCTCCGCGCGTCTCGCAGCACGCCCCCAAATCCCGAATCGTCCGAGACGAGGCACACGCAGTTCTCTCCAGCGCTGCCGCCGCTGCCCTCAGCGCCGAAGATCGTGGCCTCCATCCGCCGCTTGAGCGCCTCGTCCGCGGCGTCGGGCTTGTCCGAGACGGTCCGTACGGACACGCCCGCGCGGCGCAGCTCGGCGGCGAGTCCGTACCCCGCCGCCGCCGGCGCCGCCGTGCCCATGCCGCCGCTGCACGCCGCGCGGTACCGCTGCTCCTTGGCGGCGATGGCCGACTGGAACTTTGCGCGGCGCTTGCCCGTGAGCTGGTTGAGCCGCGCGATCCTCTTGCCGCGCTCGCGCTCGTGGAGCTGCTTGAAGTGCTTCTTGAGATCCAGATTGGTCTTGCACTTGCGGCCGCAGAGATTGCATTCGTAGGGCGCCGGCGGCTGGATCCGACCAGTCTTCTCCAGGATGTCGAGGATCTTCCTCTCGCGGCGCTGCTCGCGGACCCATTCCGGGATGTGGATGAAGGCGTGGCGGTTGGCCAGCGCAATCGTCTCCCTCACGCACCCAAACGCGCCCGCCGCGCTCTTGAGCCGCATCGCCACCGTGAAGGGCGCCAGCGCCGGCGGCTTGTTGTCCAAATCCCAGAAGATCGAAACCGTCCTCGACGGCGTCGCCACCGCGAAGCGCTGCTGCTCCGTATCGATCGATGCCCGGCAGCATTCTCTTCTTACCCGGACCGGGACGCAGCAGCAAGACGCCATAGCCATAAGAACCCTAGAAAAGCCCTAGACCTAGATTTAAAATTTTAAAAACTCGAAGTTTGGCGCCAAACGCGAACTGACGCCAATTCTTTGTTTCAAGCTGCTGCATATATGAATCGCCACTTAAGATGCAGCCCTCGGCCACGAGACCGACATGGCTGTTGCACGAAGTTAGAACGCTCCGGAACGTCACCTCGTCCGGCTTGACGCCCTCGAGATTCATAAGCTGGAAGACCTCCACTGCTCGATCGTAGTGCTCGTTTTGCGCGTAAGCCCACACCATGGTCGTCCAGGAAACCAAGCTGCGCATCTTCATGCTCTCAAACACGCTCCTGGCGGCGCCGAGATCACCCAAGTTGACGTAAGCTTGCGTGAGAGCTGTCCAGCAGACGATGGTCTTGAGCGGGATCTCGTGGACGGCCTCGTCGAAGTGCCCATTCTCGGCATACGCGAGGAGCATCACGCTCCACGAGACTGGATTCTTCTCCGGGATTTGATCGAAGATGGTCTTCGCGAGGGCGACGAAGCCTTGGTGGCCGTAAGCTTGCACCATCGCCGTCCACGCCACCACGTCCTGATCCGGCATGGTATCAAAGATCTCTCTCGCGGTGGCCAAATCCCCTCTTTGAGCATTCACCAAGATCATCGTCGTTCGTGCCACTGCGTTGGTGAAGGGGAGACGATGGAACGCCCTGTCCGATTCTTCCAGGAATCCATTCTGCGCGTAGCACACCAGTAGAGTCGTCCACGACACGGCATTCGATCAAAGATCGATTTTGCTGCCTCGATTTGGCCCTGGTGCGCGAGCGCTGTGATCATCGATTTCCACGTCACGGCCTGGCGCTCTGGGACGTGATCGAACATAGCCTGGCAGTCGCGGATCCGGGAGGCCGCCACAAACGCCGCGATCATCGCGCTCCACGAGACAAGATCGCGGAACAACATCCTATCAAACGTGTTCGTGGCAAGCTCAAGATGCCCGGACTGGGCATAGAGTGTGATGAGCGAGTTCCAAGAGACCACGTCGTGATCCGGCATGGAATCGAAGATCTTAGGATTGCACGACCGCGTTGCAGGACACAAGATTCCACTGCCACATTCGATCGAAGAGGATCTTGGATCGCCCGATATTCCCCTCCCTGGCAAATGCGATCACCAGTGCGTTGCAAGAACACACATCGCGATGAGGCATTCGATCGACCCTGCGCAGCATAGGCGTGGATCATCACGTTCCAGGTCGTAGCGTCGCGCTGGGGGATGCGATCGAAGAGCTCGGCGGCGCTGGAGGTGTGCCCGGCGGCGCGGCTGGCCTGGATCATCATGTTCCAGGAGTAGAAATTTCGGCGATCCATAGCGTCGAAGAGATATCGCGCGTCTGCAGCGCTGCCGCAGCGTCCATACATCTGGATGAGGAGATTCGCAAAGAAAATGTCCTTGGCGGCACTCTTGTCGGGGAAGAATCTTGGTTCTCAGGGAAATTTTTTCCTAGGGTTCTTTGTCTCGCCCTCTCTCCGATGGGAGATCTTCCGCCGATCGGAGAGCGCGAAAGGAAAATCCCTTGGCCGCCCGTGGTCGTGATCGAGAATGTGGCCACGATATACGATCGGCAGATGGAGAACAGAGAAATTCGCGCAGCGGTCGAAGAGGTGATCAAGGTCGAGGATCGGCGTTTGATTCCCTTGTACAACTACGAGGGCCAGACTAGCCGCGCGTTCTTGGTCTTTCCGAGCACCGAGATCGGATATGAGAATGCCGTGAGAGTCCATGATGCGTTCGCTCCTCGTCGAGGAGGAATGCGCAACTCTATGGATACCTCGCTACTCCAGAGGATATGAAGCGCCTGGATTCAAACAAGAAAGCACTCCGGAACTGGACGATCGAGAGCCTCGAGGAGAAAGTTTTGAGGCCTCGGAGGGAGGCACTCCAGGTGCGATGGAAGCTTTCTTCTTTCTTTCTTTCGTGATCTTCCTCTGTCTCAAGTTTTTTTCTTTTGCGCTGTTGTTGTAGGAGTATGAGCGCGCGAAGCAGCTCCAGATCCAACTCCAGCAAGAGAATGACGCTGCCGAGAGCGCGCTCCACAACGACAGCCAAAAGGCAGCGATTTTGCAGGAAGAGCTGGCGAGAAAGAAGGAAGAAATGGAGAAGGAGGAAGAGAAATCAAGGAGGCACATGAGCGTGAGGTAGGATTTCGATGGGCTCTCGTTTTTTTGATCTTGTCTTTCGCTCTCCAGATGAAGAAGCGAAGGTCACAGCTCGAGGCCCAGCGGGAGATGGTGCTCCGGAGCTTCCGCCGAGAAAACGAGGAGCTCTTCGAGAGCCTGAAGAAAAAGCGTGAGGAGACCGACGCGGAGATCACCAAATACCAGAGGGAGGAGAAATCTCTGCGGCAAAACATAGACTCTCGCAACATGGAGCTCCAGTAAGTTTTCATTCTCTCTCGAGGATACTTATGCTCTGTTTTTTTTTTTTTTTTCCTTTTCTTTGATTGATCCCAGGAAGTTTGAGAGGCTTCTCAGCGAGCAAGGCCTTCAGATGAAAATAGGAGAAAGGCTTGCGGCGCTGAAGGAAGAGCAGCACAAGAGGAAGATGGCACTCAGAACTCGCTACAACGAGGAGCGATTGCAAGTAAGTATCGCAAGTCTCATTGTTTTTCTTCCCTCATTCTTCTTTCATCTTCTCCTTGGAATTTCCAGCTCGCCCAGCAGAAGAAGGCAAAGGAGAAGCAACTGCTGGAGGAGCAGCTGCGGAAGAAGGAGGAGCTCGCCCAGTCGATCAAATCTGACGAGAAGAACGCCAAGAACGAGAACTGTATCATCTGCATGGAGAAGTTCTCGTTGCGGCGAGGTCTCTATGGTTGGGGCCACTCGTACGTTTGCGAGGAATGCTTACCAGCGGTATGGGGGGCGAAGAAGGAATGCCCGATTTGTAGGCACCGCAGAAAAAAATGCCCATTCTCACCCATGTTTACTCGCAACCTTTTGGCACTAATCTTGTGCAAACTTTCATGATAAGACAAAACTTTTATTTCTGAAATGTCGTAGCCTTAAGAAAACTGCGACTTAAGTTGGCGGACAATGGACTCGTCAAGGAAGAAAGTTTTGGCCAGCACGTCGTCTCTAATCCCAGATCCGAACATGGAACTCGCGATAAGCTGCGCTCCAGGGTTCTGCTGCGAGTTGAGGGTGGCGATGGCCTTGGCCGGAGTGTCGCCCACATTGAGCTGCCAGTGAATGAGCGCGCGGGGGATCACCAAAACATCGCCCTTGTTGAGGATTTTGGCGAAGAGCCTGTTGTCCTGGGTCACAAAGCCGGCGTACAAGCTCCCCTCCTCGACGTAGACGAGCTCGGATGCGAGGGGGTGCGTGTGTGGAGGAATCAGGCCTCCCACCGCGAAGTCGAGGCGTAGGATTGCGAAGCCGAGGGTGTTGAGACCCGGGAACGTTTGCACGATGCCTGGGAAGCTGTCGGCTCCATAAGCGTTGCTTGTGTTGGCGGGGGTGGCGAGGCTGAAAACGAAGTCGTCGATGGTGGCGGCATAGTAGTCCTTGCATGGATAGCCGTTGATGGTGAGGTTGAGGGTGAGATCGGCGACGCAGTAGTCCTGGAGGGGATCGGGATCGGCGGAGTGGCAAGGAAGGATGACTGCTGCGAGTGCCACCATCGCCAATTGCACGAGAATGGATGTAGCCATGATTGAATCGGACTAATATGAAGAAGAAGAAGCTTGTGGATGGAGGGATTTGATCGTTTGATGGAGATTTATACTCTGGGTGTCGTGTTGTTTCAGCCCAGGAGAGCCTTCTTGGATTTTTCATGCTGTAGAATCCGCGTGAATTTTCTCTTCTTATACAGTTATATCGTGAAGAACAAGCTTACGAGTTCTGAACAGAAACATAGAAAGTATAGAGAAAGAAACCCAAGCTTGACAAAAGATAATGTTTGTAACGTGGAAAGAAAATTGTGTCATCTTTCGAAGAACAAGTTACGTAGAGAGAAAGAAACCAAACTTGATAAAAACGTGGAAAGAAAATGATGTCTTCCTCTCTTTTTTTTTTAAACACAGAAAATCTAGAATATAAAGTTGGACTTGTTGTTGGCCTGCACTAACACCACCATTATATAGTATCAAAACTTGCCATAAACACAACCAAAGCTTCAAGTGGATTTTATCTTTGATTAAGTGTGTAAAATTTTCTGAAAAAGCTTGATGCTGGTTCTCATAATGTAGTTAGACAATGAAATCGCTCATCTTAAGTGGCGATTCATCTATGCAGCAGCTTGAAACAAAGAATTGGTGTCAGTTCGCGTTTGGCGCCAAACTTCGAATTTTTAAAATTTTAAATCTAGGTCTAGCGGCCGCTCCTGTTGCTAAAGTGATTGACTTCCCTCATGGTTATAGTTCGTCCCACCATCTTGGACGTTCTTGAGGATCCTTAGCTGCGGTCCTTGTTCCACCGCTACCGTCCATCGTCTCACATCCACTGTCACCAAGTCATGCCCCCAGAGCATGGTCCCGGGGTGGCCAAGATCCTCCAAGTGGACATAAACTTGCGCCCAGCAGAAGAACCTCACTTCCCGGCAATGCAAAAAGCACGCACCACGAGACTAGATTTTCGTCCGGCATTAACAAGAATTTGGTCGCCACGTCTTGATCATACATACCACATCCTTGGCGCGAATGTCGATTTTGCTGCCTTTTTAGTTTTGGCCGAAGGACAAAAATTCAAAGGCTCATCTCATTTTTCTTAATGATTTTCAATTTTCAATCAGCTTTTACCCCAGCAATTGGAGATGCTTCTCAAAGTTGGCCCATTTCTCTTGTTTCTTTTTAAACTCCTCCACGTAAATCTGCTGCAAGAAGGGCGTACAGAACTCATCCTTGCCTGTCGATGCTAAAGTCGCCCACAATCTCCAGATCCCTTATTAACAGCCTCGCAGCATAGAAAAGCCCAATGGTCTACAAAAGTGGAAATGACTGAATCCCAGTCTTCCTTGGTGTCTAACAGCTTGCCCACTTCCTTCGGCGTCAAGTCGGGCAATTCGTCATTGATGGCGCGCTCCGAGGTGGACGTATAACTGTACAAGAAGAGACAAATTCACGCGGATTCTACAGCATGAAAAACCCAAGAAGGCTCTCCTGGGCTGAAACAACACGACACCCAGAGTATAAATCTCCATCAAACGATCAAATCCCTCCATCCACAAGCTTCTTCTTCTTCATATTAGTCCGATTCAATCATGGCTACATCCATTCTCGTGCAATTGGCGATGGTGGCACTCGCAGCAGTCATCCTTCCTTGCCACTCCGCCGATCCCGATCCCCTCCAGGACTACTGCGTCGCCGATCTCACCCTCAACCTCACCATCAACGGCTATCCATGCAAGGACTACTACGCCGCCACCATCGACGACTTCGTTTTCAGCCTCGCCACGCCCGCCAACACAAGCAACGCTTACGGAGCCGACAGCTTCCCAGGCATCGTGCAAACGTTCCCGGGTCTCAACACCCTCGGCTTCGCAATCCTACGCCTCGACTTCGCGGTGGGAGGCCTCATTCCTCCACACACGCACCCCCTCGCGTCCGAGCTCGTCTACGTCGAGGAGGGGAGCTTGTACGCCGGCTTTGTGACCCAGGACAACAGGCTCTTCGCCAAAATCCTCAACAAGGGCGATGTTTTGGTGATCCCCCGGGCGCTCATTCACTGGCAGCTCAATGTGGGCGACACTCCGGCCAAGGCCATCGCCACCCTCAACTCGCAGCAGAACCCTGGAGCGCAGCTTATCGCGAGTTCCATGTTCGGATCTGGGATTAGAGACGACGTGCTGGCCAAAACTTTCTTCCTTGACGAGTCCATTGTCCGCCAACTTAAGTCGCAGTTTTCTTAAGGCTACGACATTTCAGAAATAAAAGTTTTGTCTTGAATTATGAAAGTTTGCATGAGATTAGCGCTAAAGTTGCCAAAAGGTTGACTAAGTTTACGAGTAAACATGGGTGAGAATGGGCATTTTTTTCTGCGGGTGCCTACAAATCGGGCATTCCTTCTTCGCCCCCCATACCGCTGGTAAGCATTCCTCGCAAACGTACGAGTGGCCGCAACCATAGAGACCTCGCCGCAACGAGAACTTCTCCATGCAGATGATACAGTTCTCGTTCTTGGCGTTCTTCTCGTCCGATTTGATCGACTGGGCGAGCTCCTCCTTTTTCCGCAGCTGCTCCTCCAGCAGTTGCTTCTCCTTTGCCTGCTTCTGCTGGGCGAGCTGGAAATTCCAAGGAGAAGATGAAAGAAGAATGAGGGAAGGAAAGCAATGAGACTTGCGATACTTACTTGCAAGCGCTCCTCGTTGTAGCGCGTTCTGAGTGCCATCATCCTCCTGTGCTGCTCTTCCTTGAGCGCCGCGAGCCTTTCTCCTATTTTCATCTGAAGGCCTTGCTCGCTGAGAAGCCTCTCAAACTTCCTGAGATCAATCAAAGAAAAGGTAAAAAAACAGAGCATAAGTATCCTCGACAGAGAATGAAAACTTACTGGAGCTCCTTGTTGCGAGAGTCTATGTTTTGCCGCAGAGATTTTTCCTCCCTCTGGTATTTGGCGATCTCCGCGTCGGTCTCCTCACGCTTTTTCTTCAGGCTCTCAAAGAGCTCCTCGTTTTCTCGGCGGCAGCTCCGGAGCACCATCTCCCGCTGGGCCTCGAGCTGTGATCTTCGCTTCTTCATCTGGAAAACGAAACACAAGATCAAAAAAACGAGAGCCCATCGAAATCCTACCTCACGCTCATGTGCCTCCTTGATTTCTCTTCGGAGGCGTTTCTCCTTCTCCATTTCTTCCTTCTTTCTCGCCAGCTCTTGCTGCAAAAGCGCTGCCTTTTGGCTGTCGTTGTGGAGCGCGCTCTCGGCAGCGTCATTCTCTTGCTGGAGTTGGATCTGGAGCTGCTTCGCGCGCTCATACTCCTACAACAACAGCGCAAAAGAAAAAAACTTGAGACAGAGGAAGATCACGAAAGAAAGAAAGAAAGAAAGAAGAAAGCTTCTATCGCACCTGGAGTGCCTCCCTCCGAGGCCTCAAAACTTTCTCCTCGAGGCTCTCGATCGTCCAGTTCCGGAGTGCTTTCTTCTTTGAATCCAGGCGCTTCATATCCTCTGGAGTAGCGAGGTATCCATAGAGTTGCCCATTCCTCCTGGACTCGCGACGAGGAGCGAACGCATCATGGACTCTCACGGCATTCTCATACCCGATCTCGGTGCTCGGAAAGACCAAGAACGCGCGGCTAGTCTGGCCCTCGTAGTTGTACAAGGGAATCAAACGCCGATCCTCGACCTTGATCACCTCTTCGATCGCTGCGCGAATTTCTCTGTTCTCCATACCTCTGTGCTTCCTGAGCTCCCGATCGTATGTCGTGGCCACATTCTCGATCACGACCACGGGCGGCCAAGGGATTTTCCTGTCGCGCTCTCCGATCGGCGGAAGATCTCCCATCGGAGAGAGGGCGAGACAAAGAACCCTAGCAAAAAATTTCCCTCTTTCTTGAGAACCAAAAATTAGGAATCTTCCATGGCGGATGACTGCTGCGATCGCAGGGCTAGAGGAGCGGCATTTCCTGGCGGATCTCGTGAGGGGTGCTGGCCGTGGCAAGGATCTCCTCCAGGCCCGGCGATTGCACGCCAGATTCTTCCCCGACACGAGTGCCGCCAAGGATATTTTCTTCGCGAATCTCCTCATCCAGATGTATGGGCGCTGCGGCAGCGCTGCGGACGCGCGATCACTCTTCGACGCCATGGATCGCCGAAATTTCTACTCCTGGAACATGATGATCCAGGCCAGCCGCGCCGCCGGGCACACCTCCAGCGCCGCCGAGCTCTTCGATCGCATCCCCCAGCGCGACGCCGCGACCTGGAACGTGATGATCCACGCATACGCGGCACAGGGGTCGATCGACGCCGCGGCTCGGCTCTTCGATCGAATGCCCCATCGCGACGTGTGTTCTTGCAACGCACTGGTGATCGCATTTGCCAGGGAGGGGAATATCGGGCGATCCAAGAGCCTCTTCGATCGAATGCCGCAGTGGAATCTCGTGTCCTGCAACGCGGTCGTGCAATCCTACATCCGGAGCTCCAATCTCGGCCAGGCGAAGAAGATCTTCGATTCCATGCCGGATCACGACGTGGTCTCTTGGAACTCTCTCATCACACTCTATGCCCAGTCCGGGCATCTTGAGCTTGCCAAGAACACGTTTGATGGGATGGAGTTCCGCGATCTTGTCTCGTGGAACGCGATGATCGCCGCGTATGTGGCGGCATCCCGGATTCGCGACTGCCAGGCTATGTTCGATCGCGTCCCAGAGCGCCAGGCCGTGACGTGGAACTCGATGATCACAGCGCTCGCGCACCAGGGCCAAATCGAGGCAGCAAAATGGATCTTTGATCGAATGCCGGCCAAGGATCTCGTGTCGTGGACGAATCTACTGCTGTGCTACGCGCAGAATGGATTCCTGGAGGAATCGGACAGGGCGTTCCATCGTCTCCCCTTCACCAACGCAGTGGCACGAACGACGATGATCTTGGTGAATGCTCAAAGAGGGGATTTGGCCACCGCGAGAGAGATCTTTGATACCATGCCGGATCAGGACGTGGTGGCGTGGACGGCGATGGTGCAAGCTTACGGTCACCAAGGCTTCGTCGCCCTCGCGAAGAACATCTTCGATCGAATCCCGGAGAAGAATCCAGTCTCGTGGAGCGTGATGCTCCTCGCGTATGCCGAGAATGGGCACTTCGACGAGGCCGTGAGGTTCTTCCACGAGATCCCGCGCAAGACCATCGTCTGCTGGACAGCTCTCACGCAAGTTTACGTCAACTTGGGTGATCTCGGCGCCGCCAGGAGCGTGTTTGAGAGCATGAAGATGCGCAGCTTGGTTTCCTGGACGACCATGGTGTGGGCTTACGCTCAAAACGGGCACTACGATCAAGCAGTGGAGGTCTTCCAGCTTATGAATCTCGAGGGCGTCAAGCCGGACGAGGTGACGTTCCGGAGCGTTCTAACTTCGTGCAGCCATGTCGGTCTCGTGGCCGAGGGCTGGGAACACTTCGTCTCGATCAGCCAAGACTTTGGGATGGTCCCGAGGAGAGAGCACTACTGCTGCATGATCGACATCCTGGGTCGATCCGGAAGAACTCTAAGCGCCGAGGAGCTCGTCAACTGGATGCCATTTCTTCCGGACGTGGTGATATGGATGTCGCTGCTGGGAGCTTGTCGCCTCCACCGCCATGCCGACTGTGCTGAGAGAGTCGCAGCGAAGATCTTCGAGCTGGAGCCCGGCTACACGACTGCCTACGTCGTTCTCTCGAACATGTACTCTTCGATCGGGAGGAGGGACAAGGTATCGATGATCCGGAACCTGATGAAGTCGAGGCGAGTGAGAAAAGTTCCGGGGATCAGCAACATCGAAGTTGGCAATGAAGTTCACAGTTTCGTGGTGGGGGATCTTTCGCATCCTCGCAGTGAAGACATCGTCGCGGAGCTCCAGAGACTGGCGAGAGAAATGCGAGACGCTGGCTACGTTCCCGACACGAAGGAGATCTTGCACGACGTTGGCGAGGAGCAAAAGGAGGAGCTGCTGCACTACCACAGCGAGAAAATGGCTGTGGCTTTTGGATTGATTAGCACGGAGCAAGGGTCGCCGCTGAGGATCCTCAAGAACCTGCGGGTGTGCGGGGATTGCCACTCGGCTATCAAGTTTGTGTCCAAGATGGTGGGACGATCTATAACCGTGAGAGACGCTAGCCGGTTCCATCACTTTAGCAACGGGACGTGCTCTTGCGGAGATTACTGGTGACTAAATTTTGCTCGGCCTGTTTCGAGAGATCGATGTGGAGCGGAGGAGCTTTTCCAGCGACGAGGTAGAGTTTCATCTTTGCTTTTCTGGTTGCTTCATCGCGGCTACTTTCTTGCAGTGGAATGCAATCAACAAACTTGCATAGACTCCAAAGACAAGGAGAAAAGAATCTTATACACGGGACAATCTTATACAAAGTTGGATCGGACTTGGTTGATGCTACGCTCGTCCAAGAAGAAAGTCTTCTCGAGCACCTCGTCCGGCACCTCTGGTCGGGATCCAAACATGGATCTCGCAATGAACTGGATTCCGGGGAGCTGGGAGTTGAGAGTGGCGATGATCTTCGCGTTGGTCCTTCCTACGTTCATCTGCCAGTGGATTAATCCGCGAGGAATCACCATGACTTCTCCCCTGTTCATCACTCGGGCAAACAGGCGATTGTCCGCTGTGACGATGGCGGCGTACACGGTCCCTTCTTCTACGTAGACCATCTCCGAGGCTCTGGGATGGGTGTGAGGAGGGATGATCCCTTCCGGGAGAAAGTCGAGCCTAGCGATGGAGAGACCCAAAGTGTTGAGGCCTGGAAATCTCAGCACGGTTCCAAAGATCGCACCGGAGCGATTGATGTTTGTGGTGTTGGAGGAGTTGACGATTCCGCTGTAGATGAAATCGTCCACCGTGACTGTGGACGAGTTCCTGCATGGGAATCCATTGATCCCAGGGACGACGTTGAGATCTCCGATGCAAAAGTCCTGGAGTGGATCTGGATCGGATGAAACTACTGCGCACACGAAGAATGCGAGCAAAGCAATCCAGACAGCGTGAGATTTGGAGAGAGCCATAGTCGAAGAACTGGATGAATCTTTGATCGGAGACGAGTGGATCGCTGGATTTGTGATGAAGAACCATTGCCTTGAATGATATATATACCTGGAAAACGTGATAGTACTTGGATGCTGCGCGTACACACTAATTTGGAAAGCCGAGTGAGCCACCATGTTGGAACACGAAGTTTCAATCACGTTTTTGGTCAAGGTCAGCGGGAAAAGTAAGTACAAGTCGCATTTTGAATAACTGGAATATATATTTTACTTTGCTTTTAAAACCATATTTCTTACCGGCTTCGAAGTTCAATGATCGATGACCAAGGTAACGTTCAATGATCGATGACGATCAATGACCAAGGTAAAGTATGCATACATTAAGCTTCGTGACCCATTGACACCCAATTGACAATGAGATTCAAACAAGCGTCTAACGAAGTATCTTTTGAAATCATCAATGACTAATTTTTATCCAGTGGAAGTTGTTACGTATCCAATATGTTGCTCCGAACCTCCAATGTTCATACGTGCGGATAATACCAGCGACACCACAAGCAAGCAGGTGACCCGACCACAGCGAGCTTTTCCCAACGGACGAGTCCCGGGAGGTACTGGGGATCCACCTGTACAGGGGGACTGTATACGTAATGTGCTTGTACAATACGACCACGACGTTCGAGCTCATGCAGTTGAGCTCTGGAAGGACAGTTTGGGAGATGGTGGACTCACATCTTTTGTGTTACAAGGGGTTTGAGACATGGATGGCGAGATGTACTACACGGAGTCGGGAGATCGCCGGGATAGTTGAACGAGTACAAAAGTTCAAGGCAGTGAGCCGCTGTTTCTCCTATGACATCAGGAAGACACTCGGTGGCGCTGGAGAAGATCCAATCCTTGCAATGAAATTCTTCTTTTCCTTGGCTGTCTACCACCAACCTCTAGGACTCATTCTCACTCAAGCTGATGGTAAGGCAGTCCGTGACGGTATCTGGTGTGAGATCGAGGCTGCCGCCAAGACTCGGATCAGCCACCAGCTCCCATGGTATCCTCCACTTTTGGCCGTCATGCCAGAGCATGAACACTTCTTACACTTTCCTCATGCTTGTGCTGACTCGCCAATTGCATCGATATCTTGCAACAACAACACATAAGCTGAAGAGAGCGTGACGGAGTCGTACCTGGATAATCTCTAATTAGGATTTCTGAGCCGAAGCAGCAAGGAATGGATGGTATTACTTACTGCCTGAAGGGTCGAATGCCTCGTTGGCAGAAGTTTTGCAAGGCATTGATGCTGCTCCAAAAGAAGAAGAGTAAGCGATCAAAAGTGAAGAGTTTCATGGGACTGGACCCGCGAAATGTTGATATTTCCAGGAAACTCGTGTTTATGTTTTAACACTGGAAAGTCCTCCAATGAAGTCTAAAATTAAAACATCTGAAGGATGCCTCTTTTGATTCGATCTATATGGGACCTTTACTGGATCTGAAGCTTTTTTCTTTATTTATGCTTGTAAATGTACCTGAGAAAGAGCCCATGTGCAATTTTCTAGCGAAGAGGTTATAGCTGATAGAATCCAGAAAAAGAATTTTATAAACGGGGCAAAGTCTCATACGAAGTTGGATCTGACTTGGTTGATGCTACGCTCATCCAAGAAGAAAGTCTTCTCGAGCACCTCATCCGGCACCTCTGGTCGGGATCCAAACATGGATCTCGCAATGAACTGGATTCCGGGAAGCTGGGAGTTGAGAGTGGCGATGATCTTCGCGTTGGTCCTTCCTACGTTCATCTGCCAGTGGATTAATCCACGAGGAATCACCATGACTTCTCCCCTGTTCATCACTCGGGCAAACAGGCGATTGTCCGCTGTGACGATGGCGGCGTAGACTGTCCCTTCTTCTACATAGACCATCTCCGAGGCTCTGGGATGGGTGTGTGGAGGGATGATCCCTTCCGGGAGAAAGTCGAGCCTAGCGATGGAGAGACCCAAAGTGTTGAGGCCTGGGAATCTCAGCACGGTTCCAAAGATTGCGCCGGAGCGATTGATGTTTGTGGTGTTGGAGGAGTTGACGATTCCATTGTAGATGAAATCGTCCACCGTGACTGTGGACGTGTTCCTGCACGGGAATCCATTGATCCCGGGGACGACGTTGAGATCTCCGATGCAAAAGTCCTGGAGTGGATCTGGATCGGATGAAACTACTGCGCACACGAAGAATGCGAGCAAAGCAATTGAGACAGCATGAGATTTGGAGAGAGCCATAGTCGAAGAACTGGATGAAATCTTTGATTGGAGACGAGTGGATCGCTGGATTTGTGATGAAGAACCATTGCCTTGAATGATATATATACCTCGAAAATGTGATAGTACGTGGATGCTCCGCGTACACACTAATTTGGAACGACGAGTCAACGGCCGCCCCTGGAACGCGAAGTTTGAATCACATTTTAGGTCAAAGGTCAATATAAGTACACTCATTTTGAGTAACGGTATTTTACCAAAAATAAAAATAGAATTTTGGAAACCTCTGCCAAAAAATGGTAGCTTTTCAATCAAAAGAGAAAGGTTTAACGTGGTTACCTCCGCCAATCCTTACAATCGAAACCTTCTTTTTTTCATACTTTTCTGTTGCGCAGGGCTCTGTAAATTTAGGTGTTGTTGTTCATGCACCGGTTCTTCCTTCGTGGATCGCATTTTAACACTCTCGTGAGCTCCAACAGTCTGTATATTTTCTGTACTTCGATTCTTGTTGCTCACTGTTTTTTTTTTATCCCAAACTGCTCGACATTCGCTGGAAGGTACGAGCTGAAGGCATTGTGCACGTAAGATTCAGGTTTTCCTCATTCTGATTCTACTCCTGACTTGTATGCATTTTAGAACATACAACTTGGAATGTAGACATAAACACAATCTCATCTTCTTTCGTTGGCATTGGTTCACTTGTAAGTCAGATGCACAGGTCTTCACTCTGTAGATAATTTTTTGGTCGTTTTCTCAGGGACGTCGTTAAAAGAGCACCCTAGATGAGTTCCCGAGAACAAGTCAGCTGTTGCATTTGGTGATGTCTTGGGACTTACTTGGAAAGAATTTGGGAACACGAGGTAAGTGGATGCATGCTTTTAAAAGCGACTGAAACCAGCACAGTTGTTGTACAACCAAACGAGCGGAATAGTTCTGGCTGGAGAAATATCTTCACGAGCGGAATAGTTCTGGCTGGAGAAATATCTTCACGAGCGAAATAGTTCTGGCTGGAGAAATATCTTCACGAGCTGTATCTTTTTTCTCTGTTCGTTGATGTTTTGTTCCTTGACTTTGCGTCAGTCACGGTGCCAGTATGATTCGTCGAACGCTAACTGAACTTTATTCTGAAGCGCATCTCTCTTCCAATGGAACGTTCGGTGTGAGTGCAATCTTTGTTTGGATATATGCTTCGTCCACTTATAGTTATGTTTTTCTCTTTTCTTTGTTTCGCAGTGATGGGCATCTTGTCGCAGTTGCCTACTACAGATCAGGCTACGGATGATCCTTCCGAGCTGGTATATGTCAGTCATTCGTGGCTATTTCTTTATTTTCGTTTTGTTTCGCTACAAGGGATGGCACGCGAGATTGCTGCTCGAGCGTTATAAAATGTCCATGGATCTCATACCACTTAGCTGGAACCAAAAAAGTGCAACAAGAGCTTGCCAAGCCGAATGTATTAGAAAGGTACTGCCATCCTTTGTTTTCAGGTTTGTTCAAGACAAGAAAAACGCCGCGGAGATCATTCGTGAGTTCTTTGCGGGGCTGTGGGGCCTCAATGAAGAGAGTTACGAGATCATCAACAAACAGCCCGAGCTATGTGTTCTAAAACCTCAATGCGAAGGTGGTGGTGAGTTTTGTCTTTCCAAGTTTCTCTCATCGTTTTCGCTTCTCACAGGAAACACCATCTATGGCAGCGCCGTGAAAGCGAAGCAGACGGAGGAGCCGGGCTTTCGGCTTATATCCTCATGCAGCGCATCTTCCCATCGACGTACATGTCTTATCTCGTGCGAGGAGGAGCGGAGCGCCGAGAAAGCAGTCTCGGAGGGAGCTGGGAATCTTTAGCACATACCTGTTTCTTCTTTTTTCCTCTCTCAATTTTTTACAGATTCTTTGCAGGAATGGCGAAAGAGAAATCACCAACAAGGATTGTGGTTACTTGCTGAGAACAAAAGCCTCGAAAGTAGATGAGTCGCCACTGGCTTCGCTGTTCTTGACAGCGTCTATCTCTTTCTGGAAATAAACAAGTGAAAAACTTAAGGGTAAATGATAATTCTAATGGATATGGGTCATTATCTATTTATATGAGGCACTTTGTTTATGCTTGTAAATGCATCTTTTGCGCGCATTTATCAGCGAGGTGATAGCTCTTGGCCAAGAGCTATTTTCTAGCGATGGTCTTGGCTATTTTCTTGCAACGACAAACTTGGATAGATTTCGAGAGAAGAATTTTTATAAACAAAATGTCATACGAAGTTGGATCGGACTTGGTCGATGCCACGCTCGTCCAAGAAGAAAGTCTTCTCGAGCACCTCGTTCGGGACCTCTGGCCGAGATCCAAACATGGATCTCGCAATGAACTGGATTCCGGGAAGCTGGGAGTTGAGAGTGGCGATGATCTTCGCGTTGGTCCTTCCTACGTTCATCTGCCAGTGGATTAATCCGCGAGGAATCACCATGACTTCTCCCCTGTTCATCACTCGGGCAAACAAGCGATTGTCCGCTGTGACGATGGCGGCGTAGACTGTCCCTTCTTCTACATAGACCATCTCCGAGGCTCTGGGATGGGTGTGTGGGGGGATGATCCCTTCCGGGAGAAAGTCGAGCCTAGCGATGGAGAGACCCAAAGTGTTGAGGCCTGGAAATCTCAGCACGGTTCCAAAGATTGCGCCGGAGCGATTGATGTTTGTGGTGTTGGAGGAATTGACAATTCCGCTGTAGATGAAATCGTCCACCGTGACTGCGGACGAGTTCCTGCATGGAAATCCATTGATCCCGGGGACGACGTTGAGATCTCCGATGCAAAAGTCCTGGAGTGGATCTGGATCGGATGAAACTACTGCGCACACGAAGAATGCAAGCAAAGCAATCGAGACAGCG